AATAGTATGAACTAATCTGGATATCATTACCAAGAGTTATTTCATTTTATTCAGTTTTTGCAAACTTTTAATCTATTAACTTGGTTAGTACGTAGTGAATTACTCAAATTTTATGAGATAGTATTGTTTTTCACTGAGAAGATGGATATATTAATAAGCCTATTTAGCTCATTTTGCCAACCTTTATATATTCACATATATATAAGTTCAACTTTATCTTCCAGACAGGATTGACAGGATTGAGGGTTAAAGATGAAAAGAGGTGGAATAGTAGTGCCTTGGGAATAATGTAAATGTTTGGGACGAAAGACTGTGACGTTTCTAGCCTCATCGTTGCTTGAAAGTAATCCAAAATATTTTAATTCTGATCCTCAACCTCTTAGCCAAGCGCAATACAAACAAACAATGCTTGCTGCCTCACGTATAATTTTGATTGGGCAAAATACGAGAAGAGTGAACATCCGTGTCGGAGGTTGTATCCTTTTCTTGTTTAAATTCCAAGCTAGCTTAATTTACAGTCGTTATGTCTGTCTTGAAAAAAAACAATTTAAATTAACAATTTGAGTATTTGCAAGCACATACACGCTTGGTTACATACGCTGTAATAATTAATCTAAAAATACGTACTTGGACTTGACTCTACCTGGAGAAGCATGACTTTAGCTGATCCACAATGTTCATTTTCATATCGTTAAAACTGATCATTTATATTCTATGCTCATATGAATGCTTTCTTCTTGTTTTTATTCGAAAGACTATACCGTCGAAAACCCAGGTCTTGGTGGTCATGACAAAACTATGAAGACAGTTTTAAATTATTAACGTTGATTTATCTAACTATACAAATATTCTTAGGCTTAAAAACGTATCGTTAAGTTGCCATTTTATGCTCTGTTTCCAATCTCGTTAGTCTTGAGCATAACCTCCTCCAATTTCCTCAATAAATACTTCACGCAGGTAATGACTATTGAGCCCGGATACTATCCCCCCGGGAAGCATGGTATCCGGCTAGAAAACGTTGTATTTGTTGTGCCCGCTCCTGACGACCCGCCAGCAGAGCCAAACATCTCGTCACTTGATACCTCTTTACACCAAAAGCCAACTGATACCAGTTCACCTTCAAATCCCGCTTATGCTGGCGGTGATCCGGAAGCTAGTGGCTCTGCGAGGCATTCCACAGTTGCAGAGGGCCTACCAGCACAACCTGCTTGGCTCACTTTTGATCCGGTCACGTTAGTACCCTTCCATCGGCGCCTGATTGATCCAACCCAAATGTCGAATGAGGAGCTTGCCTGGCTCAACGCATACCATAGGCGAACACGTGCTGCTCTTACTCAGTGCATCTTTAAGGAAGGCACAGGCACTCAACTTTCTTCTGACAGACAGAGAACACTAGTTTGGTTGAACAAAGAGACAGAGCCAATCCAAAAGAATTGACATTTTTTATATCGAGACTTACTTTGTTTTTTGTCAGGATTCATTAGAAACAGCCCTGGAGTTCTTTCCTCCACTTGTTTTTTTGCATTTTGTTCTCTTAAATTCTGTTTCCCCATTTTGTTTAGAGTTGTCTGCTGTTCACATTAGTGTCTACGTCCGAAAAATTGCTTTTTCACTACAATTACGGATATTAATTTTGCTTTTTGAATTCGTAGTTTCCTCTTATCATGTATATGCATGGCATTATATGTGTAAGCTTGGGTGCCTCTGAACCTGATCCTTTTATGTTGTCACACTTTAATTTCATGGTTATTTGGTGCTTCCTAGCACTTTCCTAGGGATTACTAGCATTACATAGCCAACGATTATGGGTATGCACAAAAATCCTTTGTCAATTAGAACTTGCTCATTTTGTTTCCAATTTCCATTTACTTGTTCTTCATTAGGTTCTTGAATTTTTCTTCGTTCTCAATAATGTTGTCGCATCCTTTTGATTAGGATTTCTACCTTTGCTTCGACGAATTAGGAAGATTCGTATCATTTATTTTGTGCGTGTTGAAAATGGAAGTAAATAAAATAAAAAAATTTTGGAGCCAATTTAATATTTTTTTGTATACGCTGGCTCCATCAATATTTGTTCTTCCCCTTAATTTACTTTTTTGCATGCTGTCGACACTTTATTAGGCATACAACAAATTCATAGCCTTGCAGTGCTGACATTATCTTCATTTATTGTAAACTCTCTGGAAAAGCATTTTGCATTATTGAACGTAAATTAGGTTAAGGAATGACAATGGACATTTGGCCCCATGGTTCTGGTCATGTATTCAAAATTAGTTCAAAGTATGCTTTTCGTTTGTCTCGTTATGAGATCTCAAACAGTTATTGTTCCGTAGAAGATGGAGAGCAAGTACAACTGATAAGCGTAGTTTGGCGCCCTCCAAAGTAATTCGGAATGCGGGCTAATCATATCTGGTTGTCACTACTTGGGGCTTTTTGGTGTTGGTAAGACGTAATATCATAGCAATAAAATACTTTAAAATATTTTAGATGCATTTGGAAAATTGCTACTCCTATTCCTTTTAAATATTAAAGTCGAACCTTAGAGCGGAAGGAATTTTATGTCGCTGTGACAAGGTTTTAGTAATATGTTAAGCTATCTGTAATTGTTTTTTTATTATCGCGAATCAGCCTTGAGTAAGGGTAGATGCCTCAAGAGATGGCATACTAATTAATTGACTCATTCGAAGTAAATGCTAGCAAAAACAAAGTTGATTCATGAGAGATTGAAAATGATCGAGCCCAAGGAAACAACCTCGTATAATCACTCGTACTCCCGAAATTTCGCTAATCGTATATCCATTTTTCACAATAGTAAGCTAATCTTTGAACTACTATCGAAGGGATTGAGTCCGCACGATTTTGTCTCAAAATATCCGCAGGATGCTAAAGGGATGATCTAGCGCAGAAATGGCGACTTGTTGTAGTGCTGGCCGCATACAGTAGTTCTAATGAAGATGATATCAAAATATGCACCAAGAGTCCCCTGTTAATTTAATACCACTTGGTTCTTTGTCTCAAAGACAAGACGGGTCGGGAGGGATTTGTGAATTGGCCTCACTCTAATTCAAAGAGTTGAGTATTTCGCATCATGCGAAAGGTTCTTCGGCTCACCGTCCGACGACCCAAATAAATCCGTGCTGAGCCTTCATCTCACATGTGAAAGGCATTATTAGACCGAATTTTTCTATGAAATTAAAAATCCAGTCATAAATTAATAGGGGATTCTCGGAAAATCATCTATTTGTCCTTATTTTGAGGCAATCTTCGGTCTCCGACAAGGCCCTATAACCACCTTTCATTTTGGAATGAAGAATTGATCGACTTGAAGTCTCAAACTGTTGCTTTAATACTGAGACAAATTCGAGTTCTTAAGGTTTAAGTCACTTATATTTACTTTGCCCATTGCGGAGTGAAAAGAATTTTTGCTTTTGTCAAAGGATCTAACTGCGCCTAGTGCTCTTCAATTACTTACAGCCTCGGCTATCGGCCAATTTTCATAATATGTGGTCTTGGGTGCCTCACTCTAATCAACCTTTTCCGTTAGGTATGCCGTCAGCTTTCGTCAGTATCTTGAGGTGAGAGAATTGACAAAACTCGACGGATAAATGTGCTCATTTGGTTAACTATGGCCGAGTTATATTGTCGGACAACCATATTTGATTATGATTTTGCCTATCCGGGATGGAGCAAACTCCGCTATGCTTAACGCTGTTCCAGCACATCTAGTTTAAGGTATTATGTCCTGGTATGCATCTATTCAAATGCAGAAACTACAGTATCCGACCGGGCCTGTTCTGTAGCTTTAGTCTACTGTGATCCCAGCTATCTGTACTTTTCATATTGAGGAGTAAAAAATTGGTCAATGTATATTACATAGGACCGACACAAATCTCGTTGCTGATTACTTTTGCAGTCTATTAGATTTTAACAATCTTGTAGACCAGTGGTTCCTAAACTTTTCCTAGTCGCGGCGCCCTTTTTCAATCAAAATTTCTCCATGGCGCCCTACCTTAAGTATGACTATTCGTAAGTAAGAGATAAAAATATATAAAACTCGTGTATCTTCATTATTTTTTTGACTTTTTTGACTTTATTGACATTAAAATAATATTTAATAATTAATGTGATAGATGAGCCTGCAAATGACTGCACATTTTTTCAAATTGAAGCTTTTACAATATTTCGCGGCGCCTCTGCAAAGAGGCCGCGGCGCACAGTTTGGGAATCACTGTTGTAGACGATGACCCCACCAAATTAAGGCTTGCATTTATTTGATGCATTCTGATGATTAAACTCTACGTCTGACGATTCACGCCTGTTGTAATCAGACTCCCTGTTAACACTAGTGTTATTGAAAGAGGCCTAGCGTGTCTCATTTCATTGGCATCCAGTCTCAGTCACACGTGCATTTGAATGGGAAAAAAACGAGATGAACATGACTATGGGTACGAATTGTAAGTCCTAACAAAAGCTGCGTGATCAAACAACTAATTGCAACTTAAATGCATCATGAAGCTTAAAGTTTATACGCGTGAATTGTTTTATAATTAAACAAGTGTTGATTTCAAAGCAAAAACAATCCAAAGAAACAGCAAATGAAAGGAGAAAGTACTTAATCATCCTAGGTCGCTTAAGGTAATTTAGAGACTGATAGTTAAGCTAACCAAGGCGACAGTTCTTATCCAAGAATTACTGATACCCTAGGAGCCTACATGTATAGAAAAAAGAGCAAATTGACACCCATTAGTTAAAAGCAAGTATCCATTGAGAAATTTCGGGATGCCACAGTCTTTCTCTTCGTATCTAGGCAATCTATAATTCTTCTTCCTGTCGGCCTGAGGAAAGATGAATGAGTTAGGGATTGTTAATTTGTCCAGTCCAGCCTCCGCCCATTTGTTCCGGTGCAGGCGTCACTATCTTTATTGTTGAGCTTACTTCAGTTTCGAGTGAAAGTGTTGGGTGAAGAGGTTCGAGGATCGATCCCAGCAGAAGACGACGACATATACCCCTTGATCAGCTGTCGATTGACTTTGCTGGAACATCCTTATTGACGCTGTTTTCGAGGTAATCGTCTTAGATTCCAGTGAAAAAGTGGTAAGCTTTCATCCGTCGTATGACTAACATTATCATACCAGGGTATCATCCTTACACCCAAATTCAAGCTAATGAGTCAATAAAACTCATCGGTTTATCCATAAAAAGCTGTATATATACTCTACAACGGACCTCTTTGGTAAGGTATAAAGTGATTTTGTTAGTGCACCGGAATCGAAGGAGTATACCTTGGAAACAACATCAACAAGAATGTTTCACCAAAGCCAATCAACAGCTGGTCAAGAGGAAGCCGCAGTCATCTTGTGGTCGGATCGACCTTCAAATTGCCTCACTAAACACTTTTACTCGAAACGAAAGGAGGCTCAAAAATTATGAGATAAAAGATTTCTTAAAACCCAACTTTTCTTTGCATCGCTATCTTGATCCAGGATTTTATAAACTTTCCTATTGGCAGAATCCTACAGTGGTGAATCTGCTATCATGTTTAGTAGCGGAATTTACTTGATGGAAGAGACGGTAACTATTGGTCTCACGGTAAACCAACATTTTCTCACCATCGTTCAGGCCTCTGCCGCATAGCAAGAAAGGGTAAAAGGAGAATTCTATTCCGTTTTAGCATATTTTACAAGGTATTGCTAAAAAGTTTCAAACG